ATTTGCTTTGCCTATTATTAAGTGAGAGTCATAGTTTTTTAAATTATGAAAAATACTGGTATCTTGAAATATCTAAATGAATAATCCAAATTACATTTTTCGTGAGCACAACCTCTATAAATACCAGTAAAATGACAGTGATCACGAACTTTTGTATCTTCTGGTGTAAAATTCTTATTACATATTGAACATACAGTAGCTTTTCTAAATTCTGCTTCTTGTTCAACTGTAATATCCAGTGGTTTATTAACATTCATTTTATCAAAAATATCTTTTTTAATTTCTCTTAGTTTATTTACAAAGTGGTCTAAACAATCCTCTCCACGGTATAAATAAGGTTGGCTTGTATTATCAATAGAATTTACAACATTCAACATATAACCGCATGGTTTATGTTCCTGATACGTGCCCTTGATACCATTATTTGAATTTACAGTTATACACTCAAAATCTCCATAAACAACAAATGGACATTTTAATTTTGTATTGTATTTTTCAAATTCAATACAACTACCTTCTTTTGGTAATTTAAAATGTTGTCCATGTGTTGCCATACAACCAGTTTCATAATGTTTTGTTAATAAATCCTTTCTAGTAAAGGCATGAGAACAATAATGACAACAATGTTTTGTTTGGTCATTTTTGTTTGTTTGCCAGTTCATTAGACGACTTAGACTTTTAATAGCTACATAATGATTATTGTTATTGATTTCAATTTTCAAAAGGTTTATTTGATGTTTAGCATCTCTTGTTTTAGTTCTATAATCAATTATAATTTTTCGTCATTAAACGTATCATCAATTTCATAAACATTGATTGAAACTAGCTTACTATTATTTTCTTCAAACCTTTCAATATCCTTATTACCAGTTGGAAATTTAACACCTTCCCAGTTTAAGATATTGTCGTTTAATTTGTTGTAATGAAAAGTATGTTCTGGGTGACTTTTACTAATCTTATCAAATACTACTGATTGAATACAATATTTGAAACATTTATTATCTCTATTTTGAATATTGATACATGCTTTCTTATGTTTAATCCAATCTGGTAAGTCAATATAACTACCTGCCCTAGTAGGGTCATATTTGTCATAATGTAATGTGATTGATAATATCTTTATAAATTTTAAATTAGATGCTGAACCTTCTAACTTTTCTATGTTCAATAAAATCTCTTTGATTGATTTTTCAATTGCTTCATCCAAATCGGTTTCATTATATATGTTTGACCTTGTTGCAGGTAAATTATAAAGTATCTCTGTATGTTTTATTACTCCATCATCATCATAATAATGATAAAATAAACCTTCTGCCCTTATATTCAGTTTCATAGCTCTATTAGTTTTCAAAAAGGTTAAAAGTCTATCTTTTTGGTAGTGTATCATTGATAGTGCCTTTTCACCTTGAAAATGTTTATTTACTAGTTTTATAGAATTAGCATAACTTTTGAATGCTGATTGTTGGTCTGTTATTCTGAATTTGTTTTTTATAGCGTATTTTGTCATGGCATTTTTCAATCTTTGTTTAAGGTATGTTGAGCGAATTGTTTTTGTAGCATGACTATTATATTCATTGGTGTTTGCTACTGATTTTAATTTCTTGTTCAAAACATTCGAGATAGGTTTTTCTTTGTTGTATCTAAATTTCCTACCATCTACAATTATTGATTTTAATTCCTTGTTTCCTCTTTTTGGTATTTCCGCTTTGTCATTATTTAGTAGATAATCTATAACATGTTTCATAATACTATACTATATAATTTAATATATGTTTATTTCTTTAAGTTAATTTAACATATGAATTCTTACAATATACTTAAAGACATATTATTATATATAAATAACTATGCTTTCAGAACTTGAGGCGATAAAAGAAACACCGCATTTCCTAGTTCTTGACTTTGTTTGTGACAATTATTTAATATCATTTAATGAAAGTAATGTTGTTTATAAACAGGGAATGTATGCTAGATATAAAAAGTGGTGTAGTAAGAATAACAGAGCATGTATAACCTTTGATAAGTTTGATGAAGAGATAATGAAGAATAATGAAGTTAAATGTTTTACTCATTTTGGGAAAGATTATTATACAAATCTTATTTATGACCCAGAATAAGCATACATATTTATAACATTTATTTGGTTAAATGTTATAATTATTTTTTCTACTTAAAATCTACTTAAAGAAATATTGACTTAATATATTAAGATAGAAATGGTTGAATTTACTAAAAAAGAGCAAGAAGAAATTATTAATGACTTTTTGAATAAAATGCAAGTTAATGACATTATCAGTAGTTGTAAATGTAAACTAATAAATGAAAAAGCTGGACTAACTAAGTTAAATTTACCTATTCCAATTGTTAAAAACATTTGTGATTTTAATTATGTTGAATGCGAGAAATGTTTTTTATTAAGAAATGCAAAGCAAGTTTTACATAAAAGTAATTTACATTCAACATTGAGACAATGTATTTATGATAAATACAAATTGGAATTTGAAGAAAATACATTTCTAAATGATGACTCATCATTAAGAACATATTGTTTTATAAAGTTAAATACATTTCCTACATATGAAAAAGTGAAAAACTATATACTGCAAGATAACGAAACATATATTTTAAAATTTTATAATGATATTAAATATTACTACGAAAAATCATATGAAGTTAGTTATGGTGGCAAAACTGGAACAACAAGACCAATTGAAGAATTTCATAATAAAATGATATTTAAATTTATTGATGAGTATGATTTATCAAATAATGAAATTGAAAATGATTGCAAGGAAACATTTTTAAACTACATAAAACAAAGAAACCAAGAATTGAAAATCATGATTGATAAACTATGTGATTATATTAAGGATGAACAGAAGAACAATATAATAGGTAAATTAATATATGGTGATGTGATAAATGATATTAAAAGTGTTTTAGGAAACTGGGGCATATATTTTTGCATTTATGATTTTGCTGATAGAAAATATCCATTTAAAAATAATAAACAGAACTTTAAACAAATACCAAAGATTACAAAGGAATATTTAAATACTAATGACTTTGATTAAAACCATAATATAATAATAACATGTAAAATTTTATATGTTATAATTATACTGTACTTATAGTTTGTAAAGATTGAAATATTTTATTTTTCCTTGATTTGGTTGTCTCTTTCAAAGTGCGTTGTTTGAACTTGGCATGCTCTTTTGATTTTTTCGTGCTTTGGCTGTTTGTATTTTATTTTGTTTGATACTCTTCTGATATTTTTTGTTGGTATGTTGCTTTGTTTTTGTTGATGTGTGTTTTTGAGTTTGTGTTCTTTGATGGTTTTTATTTTTGTTGTTTTGTTGGTATGCTTGTTTGAATTATTTAATGATTATGCTTTGATTAAATATTTTGTTGGGGGTTGTTCTGGTTTTTGAGTTGCTTGGTGGTTCTTATCTTGTTTTCTGTGAATTTTGCTGATTTGTGTTTATGCTGTTTGATTATTTGGTTTTATTCTTAGAAGTGCCGTTTTATGTATTTTTGGGGGTGGGGGTGGGGGTGGGTGGGGTATCGCCTTCCATTTGCAACCGTAAGTTCGAACCAGCAAGCTGAGTCAATTGATGGCCTCAATTCGCCATGGTCACCTGACTCAACATGATGGTCAATATTATTTGCTTATTTTCCCATGTTGGTTGTAAAAGGAATCTATCATACACCACTATAGGCAATACTTTGTGTATCTTCCCACGTTGGTTTTGACGGGAATCTATCACTATTGGACAGTTTTTTATTATTAACATTTTTTCAGGGGGCTGAAGCAATGGAGGTTGCGAAATCCATTCGCACCACGAAATGAAACCATGGAGTTGAAACAATTGTTTTGTTGGCATTTGCGGGAATCGACACATTCCAGGATTTGATTTCACGGATGCCCCATGCAAAGAAACCAAGAAAATGAACAAACACACATTGCGAAATGTTCACTTGCAGAGAGTTTGTTGGTGTTTTTGCCATCTAAAGCCGCACTTTTGGACAGCTCCCTTTCAGACTGCCATCCGAAACGTCTCGGGCAATCTCTGCGAAAATCCCCCCGTTTAGACGGTTCAATTTGCAAGCCCCTGCCCGGAGGCTTATGGCAAGCAGGCGGTTTTTGGGGTGCCTGGTTGAATGCCCCAATTCCATATCCCCTCAAAAAATTGGATGCCCCGATCCCATATTGCAAATAAGGGAAGCGTAAATTACCCTGCTGTCTAACAGGCGGTTCATCGGAAACTTCCCAAAGAATCCTTGCAGCTTGCCTGTGAAGCTGCTTGATTTCCTCCAACTGGTTTCGCAGTGGCTGCGATAGAATCCCCCCTTCCCAGTTCTATCAGGGATCCTTACATTATACACCTGAACATTGCAACTTGTAAATTGTAGTTTCCAACTTTATTTTTGGTGTTGAAAAAGCCACATGTTTCAAATGGTGACGCAAAATGAATTTCTTTTAAGGAGCCCTGTCCAACCTTCTACAAAGGTACGGTGGGTGCCGATTGCCACGCTATATTGCAAGCAAACTCACCAGACTCTAAACCGCAAAGCTATCTAGGTCCTCCAGATTTGAGAGGTTAGGATAAGTTGGTACCGTCCTTTTTCTGTAGTCTATTTTAGTAGGGGAACCTTCCCCCAAAAAAGGGTAGAGAAGGGCACTACTGAAACAAACCTAGCTGTGGTATTTTCTATTCACATGGAACTTGACACAAAGGTGTTGGAAGACTCTGTTCCTTTAAAAAAAATAAACATGGACTTTTTGGTGGATTCCACATCCATTGATTTGCCACAAGTTGAGTGATGACTTGTTGGCGGCTCTGACATGTATCCCAAAAGGTTAAATCGCCTCCACTCTTCTTTGGGAACTTGACAGCAAACGACAAGTTTAGACCATTTTGGTTGCCGACCCATTGAGGAAGTGAAGCTGTTAGGGCACTGAGCTCTTAGACAGCGGACGAGCCGCGCCTTTTGGTCAGGATAGGTACCAGGAGAGCTTCCAGCGCTTGCTGGAAACTGCGCGGCGCAAGATTCTCGGCTCGCGGTTCGGTCTGAGGGATGGCCCCAGAACTGCGTTTCGTTTCTGCAACCCCCTTGTTTGGAGGGGGGGAACCCCTTTGTGAAATCATCTACATGGGTCTGTACTCAAAGAACTGTTCCTTTCGAACAGAGGAACCCCAAAAACATCGGTTGTTATAATAAACTAACCCACCAAAATACCCCCCCCCCCCTTTTTCCCATGGCTACTGGAGGTATATTCTCGCTTGACGGGTGGTTTTTTTCTGCATCACCCCTCTCGTGTCCACGGAGTCCTAAACAGTCCTCATGGACAGGGGCCGTCTTTGGAGGGAAGCCGGTTTTCCCACAAATCCGTCGAGGTCCCTTAGCTAGTGAACGAAATCGGATCACTTGGGAAGTTGCGCCCCGGATCTCGGATGGCGAGGTTTCCCCACAAATCTGTGGACCAATTCAAGCCTTTGCTCTGATAGGTCCCTCTGTTGGTTGAACGCTCGTTTCCTTTGTGGGCTTGAAGATCTATCTTTTCGTAAGACAAGACAACAACCCTGGCATGGAACACTTTTCTTTGATTTTTCTGTTCTGGTTGCCAACTGACCAACCGATCAGATCTTTGGAGCAAGCTGTAAATATTTTGTTTGGCCAGCTGTTTGTGCCTTTTTGCCTGTGCCAGGTCAGCGGATTATAGGGTAGTGGTTGGTGATGTCTTTGTCATGCTTATGACATATCCCATTCATCGTTCAACTTTTCGCAAGGGATAAGCGAGCCAAGACAAGACCTGTTCCTTTCCGAGTCTATGTGGGGTCTCAAAATAGGGAGGTTCTTTCTTGTGGATGGGGTTTGAATGGAAACCAACAGGATACCATCCAAAAGACGTGCTTCGAATGGCTGAAAGTTGAAGACACATGGGACACCGCCGTAGTTTGGAGGGTTTGCTGGGACTCCCGAGCCACCAAACTACCGAGCTCCAAACCACTCCAAGCCACCAATCCAAACCACCACTCCAAACCAGCAGTTAAGGGTTGACTGAATTTAGATCTTCAACTCCAAGCTCAGACATTTTCTAGCCACACTCAGGAAGCGAACTTAGATCTTCAGACTTTTCCCGGCCAAACTCAGGAAGTGAGTCCAGGATTCACTGGATTTGAGGCCTACCTGCTGTGGATGGACGAAATCCATTTCGCACCACCTAAGAAACCCTGGAATGATTCGATTCCCCTGTAAATACCAACCAACGTTCTGGTTTCAATGGTTTCATTTCGTGGTGCGATTTCTGGATTGCGTCCATCCACAGTACTGTCAGACCTTTCCAACAAGTGGGACCTGGACCTCCCCTTTCTCCCAGAAGCCTGGTTGAAATTTGCTCCCCAGAGATGCCGTCAGCACCGACGGATCCATCTCAGGAACTCGCGCTTAGAGATCCTGGCGGCGCAGTGGTACGGCAGCGCCTGGGTCGAAAAGCAAAAAAGCAAATCCGCGGGGGGGTTGATGGAGACCCTGCCTAACATGGAATCCACCAAAAGCTCCTTTTCAAAGAACAGTAGAGTCTTCCAAAACCTTCCAAAACCTTTGCGTCTTCCAAAACCTTTGTGTCAAGCCATGTGAGTAGGAAGAACATACCATAGCCATCCGGTTCCAGGTGCCTGAGAGCCAGGTGCCCAGGCATCCGGTTCCTGAGAGCTGAGATCCTTGGAGTTTGTAGTGGGAGATTCCGAGTTTCACCCACGAAGACTTGGCCGCATTTCGCCGAGGGATCTTGGGACTGAGCCACTTTTTGCCAACGAATGAATGGGTTTCCCGTGCTAGACCACTAAAAGTTAAGCTTGTAGCAGGGGAGCAGAAAGCCACCGAGAAAAGTTAAGCTGAGTTTTGGTAGGGAGATTGTTGGTCTAGGTCCCCCCAGCTAGGTGCCAACTTTCACCCTTCCTTTTTTGGGAGGGGTCCCCTACTAAAATAGACTACAGCAACAAGTTGGTAGCAACTTATTGTAACCTCTCTACTGGAGGACCTCGCTCTGAAACCACCTTTCATTTGCTTAAGCATCGTTTTTCCCCTGTTGTTTTAAAGGCGATCTATCACCAGGGGGGCTTCAGCAAATGGAAGCCACTGTCACCTTGCAATTTGGGAGACACCCCAAATGGCGGTTTTCCTCGTGGTTTCCGGTTGAAGCCACCAAACACCCCCAACTTTCCGTTTTAGTTTCCCTCATGCCACCCCCAACACATCCCCCAATTTGTGAGAGACACCCTAGGGGAAGAAAGCCGGTCTTACGCCAGCGGGCCCTGAGGCGACGTCATGGCTGTCGCCGACTGGGGCGGCAGCCTGTCCGCGCTCAGCCGCCAGCACCTGCGAGGCGCGCGTTCTTTGGCTTCGAATTCCTCTTTGATCTGCCAACCCAAAGAGGGTCCATTTGGACGTGTCGTCAAAAAATGGGACCTCCCAAAATGGCATCGTGTTTCCTTTTTGCTCAACTTGGTGCGACTTTACCCACACTCAGAAAGGGTTTCTCCTTAGGTTGATTTTGACAGGGCGCACATGTCAGACGCTGCCAATTGTTTCCCATTAAACCGCTCCAACAGAGCACCAGCTCGCAAGAACACCCCCCTCATATAGCGGGCTGCCTTGTTATGCGTAAAAAAAGGCGAGTTGTATAGGGAGGGTCTGAGCCCTTCTTACCGAGCGCCACTTTCTTGCATTCTTTCCAGGGATCCTTCTTTCTCGAAAACCTCCGGAAACCCAGGGAAAACGGCCAGCTTTTGGAAAGAACAATGGTTGAAAATAATGGGGAATCAACCCCTAGAAAAGGGCAAACGAAATGGTCTCAAAGTGGGTTGGTCTCAGTAGCTGCTGTAGATGGTTCTCCCAACATCTGTACAGGCACCACGAAATGAAACCATGGGTGAAGCCATTGTTTTGTTTGCGTTTGCAGGGGAATCATTCCAGGGTTTCTTAAGTGGTGCAGGGAGTCGTGCATCCACGGTACGTCAGCACTTGGTACCATCTTACATGTTTCGTTAAAATGATTGTGAAGCATACTTAAGTCCTTGGTTTGGGGTCAAACATTGACCAAGAAGTAGGCTGGAACATTTTGTTGGGCTTCCTTTGGCAAAACAACAAACTTGGTTCTCTCAAAATAGGCGACCCTCAACATTGTTGATTTTCCTTTGGTTCCTCCCTGACACCACCTGAAGGGACCCCAAAAACAGACACCCCCAAAAACAGACACTCCCACATAGGGTAAAGCCTTGGGGGGGCTTTGGTTTGCTCATGGGAATCAGGACCACAATTGGGTCGGTCTAAAGATGGGCGATTCTGGTACGAGTTCTCTTCATAGTGAGAGGGTTCGAAGGCAAGTAAGCCGCACAGGCTATGCCCAAGAAGTCCGCGCCGCTTGGCGATTCAGGAAGCCGACGGCTTGTCTAGCTCCGTCTTGTTTTGGGCTTTTTGAAACAGGTGGGTGTTGGTGAGGCCAAAGGACAGAGACACCAAAAGGAAAGCACACCTTCTTTCCATCAATTCGGGGTGCAATGTTCCTCAACCAAAAGCGTCTCCGACAAAGCAGCCCTTTATTCCGCGCGGGTTTTTGCAGGGAGACGAACTGCAAGTTGCTTTAGGGCCCTCATTCATATTCATCAGATCTTTGGGTCGTCCAATCTCACGCGGTGCTGCCCTTGGGGGGGCCCCTTAAAGAATACATGGCCAGTCAAAAGGAGTGTCCCTTCAAGAATCCAGTTAGACTTTCGTGACTCTTTGAGTGGCAAACCAGGGAGTTTGTTTGTGATAGAACAGGTGTCTCCGAGTTCTTTTGGCTTTCGAAGTGACTCAACTGGCAAGGTGGATGTTAGTGCATCCCATAGTATGGCCCTTCATAAAACTGCTCCCAGTTCCCCAAAACACACCGATCGCAATGTTGATTTTCTCCTTGGAGTGGGTTTTTGGCTTAGCTTTCAAGCGCGTAACTTCCTGAGAAGGGAATCCACGGGGCAAACTCATTGCGAGTTTACGCCTATCCTGACCTTCTGCGGTTGCAAAGAACCCCCAACCCCATTCCAATTGCTTGGGTAGCTTTTGCAAGGCACCGATGAGAAGTTTTCGTCGATCTTGGTCTTGTGTTTGAGGCGTCCCCCCCACCACCTTTCGGGAGGCGCGAAATCCTGCCGCCACCACTTTGTTTTGTTTTTTTTGGGGGGGGAATTGAAACCACACCAACACGTGGCCAGATTTGGAGGTACAGAGATCCCATAATGTTTTGGTCAAAGTAACCACCTCAACCCGTGGGCAACAAAAACCCGCGGATTTGTTGACGTCCATCTTGGGGGTCCTTTTGCACAGCGCCAACATCCAGGTTGAGGGTCGATCCCAGCCACACCCCTCCGGGTGTTTTCGTGTGGCGAATGAAGTCAGCGAGGCCTTTTTGGAGGAGTGGAACTTGCAGGGTTACGTGGTAGACTTCGAGGGCACCAACGTGGTGCGCTGGTGCCTTCCCACTTCAAAAACGGGGGGCGGTTGGGCGGCGTGGGAGGCGGGGGCGGCGTTGGGCTTTGGGCGGCGTGGGCTTTGGGCGGCTTTGGGGTTTGGGCGGGTTTTTAGACGGGTTTGGGCAGAAGGAGGGAAGGGAGGGTCGGGAAGGGGTGGATCTGGGTAGAACCCCCGACCAAATTGATGGGGTCCGCTATTGGAATACTTTTTCGGCATATCGCCTCGCTTCTGCCGATTTGGCCAGATGTCAAATCAGTTAGTTTAATTGATTTAACAAACTTATTGTCTATTACCTAAAGGTAGAATTTGATTGAAACCAGAATATAAGCAGACCTAGTTTAATTGGTTAAACAATTTGATTTTGATTTCCTCCAAAGTAAACCGAATGTAATCAATTAAAACAAATATTTTCCTCAAGGCCTGCAGTCTGGGGGATTTCAAACCAAACGAGTGAATTGAGATATAGTTACTTCGACTGCTTGAAATAAGTCAATCAACAAGATTAATTCTCCGACAGTTTGGTTGATTTGGCTGTGGTTCAATTCATGCTGGAAACGAACCAGGGCACCGCCGCGAGCCGCCGAGCACCATCCAGCATCCTCTGCAAAACCCGTTGGTTCGGAGCCAGTTGAGTTCAGCATCCTTGAGGTTCTACAACAAGCCACGAACACCGTTACAACACCGATGGAAATGGCTGCTCAGACTTCTGCTGGGTTTTTTGGAGTCTAAGCTGATGCAAGAAATGCACTTCCCACTTTGTTTGAGCACGTTTGGCTCATTCCTTCCAGATGTTCAAGTGTTCTCTTGCTTGCCTAGGCTACGCAAAACCATAGAACCCAAACTGTCCTTTGGCCTTACAAAGCCTGCCTTGGCCATGAGTTTTAATAGGGAACCACCTCAAAAGTGATTGGTGGACATGAATCCCCACCTAAATGACGTCCACCAAAGGGTCCCTTATTAAGATTCATAGCCATTTGGCACCCCCTCGAAAGGGGCGACTTTTGGCTGTCTGGGATCTCTTTTGTTTAGGTGCTGAATAGCCCAGAGCTGTTGAATTTTCCAAAAAGGAAGCCAAAAGGATTGGCAGTTTGTGAATTTTCGCGGGGTTCACACGGTGACTCTCCAAAAAAAACATGTTTTGCGTTAGACTAGCTAAGCAATAGACTCAGAGCGTATCGTTCTCTGTTTACTCCAAATTTGGGCCAAGGGAAGCCAAAAGAGGATTTGCATTTCCTGCTGTTACCTAGCCCCGATTTGACACGTTGAGGGCGCCAACGACGAAGGTACACTGAACTCCTGGTCGCCCTCGCCAGCGCCTTCCGAGCTAGCGCGGGCGATCGCCGTCTGCAGCTGGGCGTGTCGCCGAGCACGGCAGGGGAGCCCAAAGGGGCAAGGAGAAGTCAGGGTTGGGCAAGACATGTTCAAGCAACCAGACCCCGACCCCCTTTAGCAAAATAACACAAGAATGTTTTTTTTTTTTTTTTAATCCCTATGTGGGGTTTGCCTTAAAATAGGGAAGCACCCGGAGAAGCTTACATTGTCGATTGTGGCCCTACTTTAAATCGAACCTACCCTCCTGTGTGGGGTTTGACCAGAACAAGTGAAACTTTTTTGTTTATTACACAAAGCAAAACCAAGAACAAGAAGATTTCCACGTAGACACATTCTTGGGCATCCATCCTCAGACTCTTTTTCGCGGTTTGCCTTTTGATCCCCTCACAGAAAGTTGAACCCTTTGGAATCAGCCACCCGAAGGACCCCAGGTTGAGGCCCTGGGTTGAACAGAAAGTTGGACTCTTCACGCATCATGGATCATCTTTGATCCCCTTGGACGGCTGTCCGCAATGCGACGTTGAAGTTTGATGTAACATCGGCCGAGAGTCCGAGAGACGAATCTGGACACAATGGCAGAGGTTTCTGGTTGCAAGTGACCTTCGTATCCGGCAAGTTGGTCTCGGCGTTTCACCGTTAGGTTGCCCCAAAAAACGCGCCCAGAGGAGTATCCATATTTTGAACCTACATACCTACATGCCTACATACCAACATACCTACATGCCTACATGCCTACACATGGGTGTGCCAAAAAAAAACCCATTGCTGCGCGGGATCTCGGGCCCGCGAAATCGGTCGGTGCAGCTGCTTCCTTCGATCCGATCCGAGGCGCGGGACCTGAAGGGCACGGACTCGCTGACGGACTATGTCCTGGTCCAGAGCTACGCGCCAAAGGCCTGGAGATACCAAAAACCCGTCGACACCCGTGGGGGAAATGGTTTGGGCCACCCGGTCACGAAACTTAGGCTCTTTTTTTTGATGGGAGCCCTGTTCTGATAGGCTTCAAAGCGAAATCAAAAGGGAAGCCGAGATCCACTTTGGGGCGTTCCCTAAAAGAGGCCCGACTCATAATATCTCTCTTTTGAGGTTGGTTTTACAAGAAATCCAGTGGTTGGTCGTAGTTTTGTTTGTGTTTTGTGTGGGTACCCTTTACCAAGCAAGGCGAAAACCGCAATCCATCGTTGGGGTCCCTATTCCAAGACGCACCCAAATGGAATTGGAGGCCCTTCAGAGGTGTGGGCTTCAAACCAAAACAATTTTATGTTTTGGGATAAACTCAATATTGAACAGAGTCAACACATATTATTTTCGTTGTACCCCTAGTCGGGCGAAGGAATGAGGGGTTGGGAAGCCTGTTTCATGCACACGATTCCTGTGTTCAATGTAGGTTCTATTTGAGCCAATAACAATCGATCTAGAATTCACCGTCGGGTGTTGGACGTGGCTCAACTGCACTTGACATTCCTTTCATTCCTTTCCAGCATGGTTTTCCTTTTTCCCTGATTCCAGCAGGGTGAGGGTCCTCCAAAAAGATGAACCCATTCTGGGCTCGAGAAGCTCAAGTTCCCGAAGCTTGATCTTCGGGCCAGCTGTTCGTCGATGGTGAGCGTCAAGTCTTGGGGCCAAGATCGGAGATTTTACGGGCCGGGCAATTTGCGAGTGTGAGGTGAGGTTCCCTCTCCAGGCTTAGTTGCTTCAGAAGAGGTTGACACCAATGGATTGTGTATTCCTTTTGGTGTTCCCGTTCAAACCATCCGCAACGGGCGGGTTGGGCTTTGCTTCCCAAAGGGGTTAACCCAAATGATCGAAGAGCATCACACCCCCTTTTTCAGGCCCCTATTTCAATCAAAGTGCTTCAACCAATTCGTTGTTTTGACAGGCACATCGATTTTGAGTCAGACCAAGGGGGGTTGTGAGTTGTGAGTTCAGCTGGGTTTGCGAGCCTCAAACGCTTCAACCACCCCTCCATCCTTGGCAAGGGCATTTGGCGGAAGTGTAAGGTACACATGCCCCATTCCGCTCCATGTTGTTTGGATGTGTTGCTGGTGGCTGCAAAGTTGGTTGTCAGTTTGTTGGATGCCCTGCAAACAGTTGTTGTTGTCCTTTGGTCAGGGGAGGCCGGGGTTGAAAGTCTGAGAGACGTGGTCAGGTGGACCTTGACGACTACCTCGCCATCTTCGACCCCCACAAGGCTGGGAGTTTTGGATGGCATTGTTCGGTCGGCTTTCAGGGGGGGTTTGGCAGGGTTTTTACCACCTGGGTGCCCCACCAAAGACGGAGTCGACCCCTACCCCTATCAGTGAAACCATCCCCTCGTTGATTTGGGAGAATTGGTTGTTCGGGTGAGCCTGAATAAACTTCGTTTCCATTGGCTTTTATAAGGAAGCCCAACCAACTTTTAGGACTTCCGACTACCAGAAAGGAAGCATCTTACAACCCAGCTTTCTTGGAATTTCTATCAGAAGGTTGTTAAATTGCCAGAAGCCCTGAGGGGTTTGAGCTAGGGACAGCTATGGGGGCCCGATGCCGGTCAGCGCCAATCCCCCAATACTCAATTTCTGAGTTCCTGGACTTAGTGCTTTCTCACGAAGACCATTTAGCATGTAGGAGCAACAAAGTTTGGATTTGTTCTGGCCAATCCGCTCAGGAGATTTGAATAGCGGCGAAATACCCAACCAATAAGGCTGGCCTTTTCTGTGAGCTAATAGGGTTCCTTTTGAGGTGTCCGGCTTTGGGAGGCAGGGGTTGATCCTTTTGAGCGCTTCCCTGGCAAAACGCCATCAAACACGGCGGAGTGGACGCGTTGTTTGTCTGAACACGTGGCAGAGCTGGGGGCTCAATAGGGGGGTTTGGGCAAAGGCTTGGTTCGCAGGCGTTCCCTTGGGTCTTGCTGGTTTCCTGGAAAGATTCGGGTTGGGCATAGGGATGTTACTGGTCAAGTGCTTGCCAACCCTCTGTCTTGAGAAGTGCAGGTGTTGCTCCCCAGAAATTATAGTTGAAATCAGTCTTTGGAAATCAGTCTTTGATATGTATTCATACATACATACATATATATATATATATATACACATGTGTGTCAAAAATTAGAGGGCTTGCCAAGCATGGTTAGTTTCCTCTTTGGTTTCCCTTCAAAGCCACTCCAAAATAAGTACCCTCAAAAAAGACAGCCATACATATTTGTGTGTTACCCGCAGAAAAGAACGTTCAGGCCCAACGGCACCAGATAAAAATCGCTCGACGGGAAGAATCTGCCCCATTGGACACCAAGGATTTTTCCCAGCCAAGTTTCGTTTCAAGAAGATTTTCCTATGGCTTGTATGAAACGTGTAGAATCATTTTGGTGAGTCACTGGGTCTAGGTGTCCCTTTAAAGAAAGAGTTATGATGGATTCCAGTGGTATATGTGTAGAACCAAGCTGAAACCAGTGTGAAACGATCTATGTTCAACCAAGCTGACTCAACAGGAAACCTTGCTTGTGGTTTCCTTTTTTGTGTGTGTTTGTTTTTGAGGGTGCCCCCTGTAGTTTTGATTGGAAGAAGGGACCCCAACAACAAAGCCAACACGAAAACCAACAGGAAAACCAACAGGAAAGCCAACATTTTTTACGCATGTTTCTTTTTTGAGGGGGGGCCTCTTTTTTTTGAACGCCAACTCCCAGAGCGCAGAGCGCTCAGGTCTACGTGGGCCTGTGCCTGGGCGGGGAAGGGTTTGGGGGGCCCAGGAGACTCGTGGCAACGAAGCTCCAAGCACTGGGTCAACCTTTAGGCTCCGGGTTTGCTTCCTCCAATGGTTCTAAGGGTTGATTCCCCATTTTGTTCAACCATCGTTCTTGTCAAAAACCGGCCGTTTCCCTGGGTTTGCGGAGGTTTTCTAGCAAGAAGGATCCCTGGAAAGAATGCGAAAGGTAGCACTAGAGGCTTGCCTTTCCCACTGTTGGGGGTTTCCACCGTTTGCGTAACAGATTTGCAGCCCGCTGGTAGGAAAAAAGGGAGGCGGCTCGTTTCAGAAGTGGCAAGTCCCGTGTTGCCATGGCAACGGAGAGATGGAAATGGTTTCTGCATGTACCCTCACACAGGTGCTAGGCATGTGGAAGGGAGACTTCAACCCAGACCTTCCTTTCGGTGAAATCAACCCCAAATGGATCCCAAGATGAGGTCTGGGCAGCCTCCTATGGGTGTGATTCACAAGTGAAAACCCATGAAGGTCGCGTATTTGGGGGGATTCCTTGTTTTCAGTTTGGGAATCGTAGGATTCTACAAAGTTAAAGGTCTGATAGAGCCCTTGAGTCTCAAACCTTCAAGGCCGATCTTGCCGGTTTCCAACAGACCTGAGATGATGTCGAACTACAAGATCACGGTAGATCGCTTTTCTTTTTTGTTTTTGTTTTGGCAGGGGGGGGGGGGGGTTTGGCTTGCTCGCCCGGACTTGCGAACCCGTTTGGGCTTGGTTGCTCTATTGTTTGACCTTTCACCTTTCACATGCGGGGGGTCAAAGACCCAGTTCTGAAGGGGTTTTGTGAATCCTTGGAATGTTTTCAATGAAAAGAGGTGAGGTTTGCTCAAGCTGCGGATGTGTCGAAGGATATGTTCATTGGCAGAAGCCATAGAGAATGAGAATCTAGAAGCTCCTTTGCTCTGGTTTCTGCTATTTAGTGCTTCTAGTTGTGGCGGGATCGAGTCGGAGAGCACTCTAAAAAACTGGGTCATCCCTGGAAGCAAGGAGCTTCCTAGATTTGTCCTGGCTGGGTTTAAGATTGGCTAGTCTCAACATGGGGGACCTCTTTTGGGTAAAGACACTCGGCATTGTTGGCGTCTGGAGACACACCAATTGATTTTGCTTGAACAAAGACCCTCCTTTGAGTGGAACGACATTCCTTTAACATGACCTTCCTTTAGGTGACTCTTCTTTACGTCGATCTTGCATGAAGCGCCGTGTGTTTATCGTGGCCTTCCTTTAGGTGCCATGTTTTAAAGTGATCTGTGTTTGAAGTGGACACAGGTCAATTTCGCACCAACCTTCTGTAGGGTTGGTTGTTTCGGGTTGTCTTCCAAATTGCCTCTACATGTCCTCTGCATGTCCTCTACATGTCCTCTGCATGTCCTCTACATGTCCTCTGCATGTTCAGCGTGTTCCCAGCATCCCAGACCTCCCTTGGCTTGGCCTTAGCCATGAGCACTTCATTTTAAAAGGGGTTGTTGGCCTTCCAAAACCAAGGACACGCCCCATTTCCCTCCCATGGAGCGCGTTTTCTCCCGCTTTACCGGTGACCGGACCTGGTTGTACAATTGCAAACAAGATTCTTCCTTGGTCGATTGGATTAGGCGAACCCCCCCGTCTGAACCACACTGAGTTTGTGGTTTGGATTGGAGATTTGAAGCCTTGGTCTTTATATACAAGGGCCATGGCCAAGTTTGGTTTCAAAGTGAAGGAACTTCCGTGGCACGGCAACTAACTGAAAGCTAGCTCTCTGAGAGATGACAAGAGAAGAACAAGCACGCGAAGAAAAAACAAAGCAAGCGCGTGTGTTTGCCAGGCCCATTGGGGTCATGGGTTTTCCTTGACTTTGCACCATCTCTTGCTAAAAACAATGCTTAAATATTGTCCAAAGGATGTCATGGGATTGCGTTCTATTTCAAGAAAGCGCGCGCAGCAGTCAGTGGTTCAGAATGGTTCTTTTATTCCCAAGTATGGGTAAAAGCCATGACCCCATTTGCGTGAACAGTGGTCAACTACATTGATTCACTGAGGGCCCTCACTTCTGGACAGGAGCGGGCTGTTCCGGCTGTAAGGCTCAGTGTTAGGTGAGTGAACAGGGGTGGGCAGAGGGCCTGAAGCGGCCACTGCCACAGCAGCAGGCGCAGCGCCTTCGCAAGGTCAAGCGCAGAGTTCGTGGTATGCGCAGCGCTTTCACAAGGGTGTGCGCAGATGCCTCGGCCGGCGCGGCGGTTTCGCAAGGCAAAGGGAGATAGATTACATAGATTAGATAGATAGCTAGACAGGCAGGCAGGTGGATAGATAGACAGATAGATGCAGGCGATCGTCTCTGGTCTAACTATGCACCTATGTATCTACGTATCTATCTATCTGTCTGTCTGTCTGTTTATCTATCTATCTATCTATCTATCTATCTATCTATCTATCTATCTATCTATCTATCTATCTACATATGCAACTAGTGGAAGGTAGATACACAGATAGAGCGATCGAAAGTCACACTCGAGAACTACAGCCAGAGATCGAGGCAATGATTATAGATGCGCGCGCCTATCCGCCCGCTCGCGTCGCGCAAGCCTGCCCGCCCTGCGCGCTCGGACAGATAGAAGAAAGAAGGACAGAACGAAAGAAAGAAAGAAAGAAAGAAAGAAGGAAAGAAAGATAGACAAAGAAAAGAAAGAAAGAAAGACAAGAAAGAAAAGAAAAGAAAAGAAAAGAACAGAAAAGAAAAGAAAAGAAAAGAAAAGAAAAGAAAGACATAAAGAAATAAAGAAAGAAATAAAGACAGAAAGCAAGAAAGAAAGACAGAAACATAAAGAACAGAAAGAAAGAAAGAAGGAAAGAAAGAAAGAGAGAGAGAGAGAGAGAGAAAGAAAGAAAGAAGGAAGGAAGGAAGGAAGGAAGGAAGGAAAGAAAGAAAGCAAGAAAGAAAGAAAGAAAGAACAGAAATAAAGAGAGAAAGAAACAGGGAAAGATGACAAACAGCAAAAAGAGCACAAGAAGAAACTATTGCCACTAGATTCTCAGTTCCAACCTACCGATTCTTGGTAAGGTGATCCTCTATCCCGTTTTCGGAGGTGCCCGGAGGGGTGCTGGAACGGCACTGCGGAAGCCGCTTGCGGCGAGGTGCTGGCGAAAGGCCTGGATGAGCACAAGAGGTTGTGGTTCGAAGCGCGAATCGTCCTGTTCGACTTCGGCTTTTGGTGGTTTTCTTGTTTCCCGAGTTCCGTCTCAGACTTTAATCACTTCTTTTGGAAGGCCGTTTTAGTTGTAAATACAAGGTTTGGACTTTTTTGGCCCATGGACTCAGGAAGTGAGGTTTTTGTTGAATAAATTGTGATTTAAACGCTTTGCAAGAATGTGAATGAGAACAGCATAATTTTTGGGATGGATGGATGGAGGGATGTCGCTGGATTGGATGGATGGATGGATGGATGGATGGATGGATGGATGGATGGATGGATGGATGGGGTTGGTCGGATGGTCGGATGGATGGGTGGTTGGATGGTCGGATGGATGGATGGATGGATGGATGGATGGTGGATGGAGCGACCTGGCGTGTACGGCTTTACGATCGGGTCCCTCCCGCTATGGTTGCCATCCCTCCGGTTGGGGCGAACTTGCTTGGAATTCATGAAATGGCGGCCAAAGGTTGTTTGATGTTGACATGTGTTTTCGTTTCACCTTTTGCATGGATGCCCTTTGATGACAGCATCCCAATGAAAGCATGTCAAGTGTGGTTTGTCCCCCAACAAGGTCAAAAAAGAGCCTCTTCAAAACGGCCTCCGCGAGCTCCCGGCGCAAGCAAGCAAGCAAGCAAGCAGGCAGGCAGGCAGGCAGGCAGGCAGGCAAGCAAGCGAGCAAGCGCAAAGCAACAGAAAAGATAGACACAGAAACAAGCAAACAACCAACCAGCCACACAAACAAAGAAAGAAACAAACACACCAGGACAAGCCAAACCAAACAACCAAACAAACAAGGCAAACAGCAAACCAGCCAAACAGTTTAAACCACCAACAAACAAGCAGGTAGACAAACGCAAAACCAAATAAACACACAGACGGGACAAGGCAAGAACAGACATGGCACAAAATCATAACCTAAGCAAAGCCAAAAACAATCAAACGCACAAGCAAACAAACAAACGAACGAACAAACGAACAAACAAGAAAACCAACCAACAAACAAACAAACAAACAAACGAACACACATTGCAGCAAAACAGCCAACGAACAAACAAGTACAGAACTCAACACGGGAGCAAACACCAAACAAGCAAACAAACAAACAAAAATCAAACAAAGAAACAAGGAAACAAAAAAACAATATACAAACAAGCAAGCAATGCCAATTAGCCGAGCCATTTTGGCATGTCTGTTGCTGCGAGTAGCGGGGTCTACGGATCTCGGCGCTTGCCACAGGCCTCACTGGTACCCGAGGTCGCCGGGGCGCTACCCTTTGCGGGCGCGAATCGTGGCAAGGCTGGGACAGATTTTGTCGGGGACAAGCCAGACCGTGGTGCGATGTGACACAGTGACCGCTCCACCCAGAGCTGGGTCCCAACGGCAAAGTTTGCTTTTCTGAGGAGGGGTGCCTGTGGCACGTCTCTCGGCGTGTGTGGTCCCGCGCTCCACAGGAGGGTAAACAAGGAGCAAACAAACAAAGAAGCAAAACAAACAAGCAACAAACAACAAACAAACAAACAAACAATCAAACAATCGAACAGTCGAACAATCAAACAATCAAACAAACAAACAAACCAACAAACAAACAAGAAACAAACAACCAATCAAAAAAACAAACAAACAAACAAACAAACAAACAAACAAACAAACAAACAAACAAACAAACAAACAAACAAACAAACAAACAAACAAACAAACAAGCAAGCAAGCAAGCAAGCAAGCAAACAAACAAACAAACAAACACACAGAGTATCAACAAAACAAGCAAGCAAGCAAGCAAGCAAGCAAGCCAGCCAGCCAGCCAGCCAGCCAGCCAGCAAGCAAGCAAGCAAGCAAGCAAGCAAGCAAGCAAGCAAGCAAGCAAGCAAGCAAGCAAGCACCGCAGAATCCCACCGAACCATGCCTAACAACAAACACACAAACAAAGCAACAGACAGACAGACAAGCAAGCGGGCAAACGAAGAAGGAAAGAAGCAAACAACGAGACAAACAAGCAGGCGCACAAGCAAGCATTGACATAGATTTCAGAGCCCCTGGATTTTCACAGGGAGAAGTTGGCTTTTCAAGCCCATTGCCCGTTTTCACGGCCACAGTGCTTTTTCAGGGTCAAACGCTCCAACGACGAACGGCCGCAGGAATTGGGGCCAAACGGTCACATCCCGTCTTGCAACGGTCCTGCCAAGACACAAAACCTGGCGCCCGTGCCATCTCTCTTAAGTGGAGGGCTTCATTTGAGCAGCCAGCGCCTGCAGCAGCGTGAAACTGCACGTGCTCGCACGCTGGGACTGGCCGGGGCCAGACTTCCTGGCCAAGTTTGTCGGTCTTCGGCTCACTGTGAGGACAACGCCTTGCGCTCAGCTCGAAGTGTGACAGGGCGCGCATGTTTGAGCTGAAGGCGTGCTGTGTCGTCTGCCATTTTCCACCAACGGAAAGTCGGGGGGAGCCACTTGACAGTTTGACACACATGAGTCGTGGCTTGCTAGCGCTTGCTTTGCGTGCACGCACACAGTGTGTGTGTGTGTGTGTCGTATGTGCGCATGGCAGGACGCTGAGGAGGATGTGGTGTTGGACCTGTGTGGAAGGAGGCGCAGGAGGTCGGAGAGCACAGTGCCCAATTTGAGGCTCTTCGTAGAGACCGCGTGGTGCTGTGGCTTTTTCTGCAAGTCAGCGGCTTACCAGCCGTGTGGTTTTGAGGTGACGCCTGTTCTGCCACAGGCGAAAGTGATTGCTGCGCAGCGCTTGCGCCCTGCGTGGCAGGCTAAAGCACCTGGCCAGCGGCCAGTTGGTGGGAGGTGGGCGCTTGCACGCAAGGAACACAGCGCGTGTCAGCCAAAAGCCCTGGCGCGACATTCTTGTTGATGGGGCGTGGAGGCAAAACACACAAGCGAGGCCGTGTTGCCGTGGGCTGCTCCTGGGAGAAGTTTGCGTCGTTGGCTGCATCTCGTGGCCAAACATGGGCCAACGAAGGCGTCACGGACAGGAAGAGTTTGCCTTACACAGTTGTCTACGCCTGGGTTGTTTCTAAGGCTCTGAGGTACTCGGAGAGCAGGCCATACAAAGGCCATACAAACACAAGTGGTGCAGTCGACTGCGCGCCGCGGGAATGTTGCCTTCTAACGTGGTGCGCTGGTGTTAACTTACAATGGTTTATCCTGAGGGGTTGCGTGTAAGGTCCTTCCAAAAGCGGCTCACGCCATGTAGGCTGAGATCCCGCCCTTGCGCTGACGGACATTTTTTGATAATGGACCCATCTGCAGTTGGGCACCCAAAACGTTCGCTGAAATGTCAAAACATGCTGATCAAGGTCAAGAACAGCGCGAAATTTTGAAGCACCAGTCCAGCCGCTTCACCAGTAGTTAGCTATGACCGTGGTCACCGCAGCCATGATGGCTCAACATATTCCGTGGCATGTCAGGTCTTTGTTTTTTGGCTTGGCAAGCACAATTGCTACCCAAGGCCCATGGCCCATGTCTCAACTCATATTGGAGCGGACCAGGTGTAACCCCTTGGCTTGTGGCCACATCAAGTTTTCGAACTTTCAATCCGCAGGCGGTATTTGTGTTTTTTTGGCAAGCGCAATTGCTATCCAAGGCGCATGAGGGGTTGGACAATGTCACCGGGCGAGTCGATTGCGCTCAACACCTTGCTCGTTCACCTGCAGGACTGTTCGGCCCCGACACTGAACAGCGCAAGTTGGCTGGCAATGTGTCTTGGATTGCCTGGGCTTGCCTCACTGTGACCATATTCAGACACGACCCACTGGTAATACTCGCAGCAATGCCCAGTGCAGGTGTGGGATCCATCCACGGCATCCTCATAGTGACGCTCAAATTGGGGGTCCGTGATCAATCTAGCAGCTGGCGCAGTGAGAGGTTAAAGCGCTTCAATCTTCGCAGCAGAGTCGTAGGGATGGATGGACTGGCTGGCCTTGTCGCGATCACATGCGTTGACAGACTGAATTCTTCAACACCCTTTGGTCTCCCAAGCCATCCCTTGACATGTGCGGGTAGTCAGTGGTCGCGACTGTCAGAAACCAGACTGTGCACTCATAGTGTGCTAGGAGCAAATAATGTCAATCAGTGCGTTGGCTGGGTACTTCATGTAAGTCCAAAACTTGACCTGAGTCTCCTTGCGCGGGTCGGCTCTTGAGTACATCCCACCCTTCCTAAATTACAACCCTGGCCGGTTACTTCTGAAAGTTAACATGCGCTTGCAGAATGCATCATGTGTCATGGCCAATACCCTTCGAGACGGTGCCTGCGGAATGAAACAAGGATGGCCAGCTGGAGTGCCAGGGCGCCCGCGAAGTGGCAGACAGCGCGATGTGCAAGACTTTGAGGGCAGCCGGCGGTAACAAGGATGCGGCTTGTTTGCGGTCTACACTGTGAGATGCTACTTGCTTAGACCGGCTGCCTGCGCTTCGTTCCTCCGGCTACCACCGCTTCCAAATCCGGGGCGTGCGCTCGCAAGTGCAGCAGGAAAAGCGCTCGTTGTGGGGGTGACAAACTCGGCTGACTTTGCAGAGGTGTGCCGACAAAGGCCTTGGGTACTTGGGAGGAAGGCCAGAGCCTTGCGTTGAAACTCGGAAAGGCACCAATGTGGCAAAGGAGAGTTGTTCCCGTGGCGGTCCTTGAGCGAAGCTGGAGGCCACACGGCGCAGCGGCTGCCTCGCATGGGTGCTGCGCTGAACGGCGGCAGGGCAGAAGTTCTCGCGTGCTTGCAGCAGTTCAAACAACCGAGCGGCCTGTGACGCACTGCAGCGGCAGTGGCGCAGTACTACAGTGTTGGCGTCGCCTATGCTCAAAATCTGCCGGTGGGCAAGGATATGAGTGGAGGTCGTCAGTTGTGTTTATCTACTGTATATGCGGCGTTCCTGGTCCTTTCTGAACATAGGGTACGAGATGAATGAGCTGTGCTTCGAATACATTGTTTGTTATTGAAGACTGATTTTGACTTGAATTCACCACGAGTTTTGCATGTTTTCAACAATGGGCTTGGACAAACAACATGTCAGTTGTGTATATCATCTCTAGATGTAGAAAAGTCGACCTATTCATGAGAATTACGTCCAGGACCCTCTATAGATTAGGACCCCCCACGAAGCCAAGACAAGACCCTTGACCTGGTCCAAAAAAGCCCAGGTCAAACAAGACCCAGGCCTAAAAAAACCTGGCACTTAACCAGGTCGAAAAAGAACCTTACATAGGTCGAAAAGAACCATTCCCCATGTTTGGTCATGGCTCCAAACGGCTAGGTCCTTTGGGCAACTGAGTAATGGGTCATTTGTTAAGGGGACCCCAAAATGGTTTCGGTTTTGCGTTGGGTTTCCCTGACGCAAGTCAGCAACCTGTAGGGTTTTGGGCTGACCAACCTTGCGGAGGTCTGGGTGGTATGCACGTGTGGCGCCTGAACAACGGAAATGCCACGCGCATGGCAGAGGACGGAACGCGCATTCTCACGGTGATGGATTCGCCCGGGTTGGGGTGTGCAGGGGGGGTGAGGGTTCAGCAGAGGAATCGCCCCGCAAGCGACTGAAATCATGCGTTTTTTTCCAGTGGAACCATCCACTTGGGACCCATATTGGTACTTGAAGAGGTTGACAACTGGAGCTGTCCTGTTGCCCTGTTACTTTGACACACCGTGGCCACTGGGTTCCTTTCAAAACACATCAAAAACGGGGTTGCCCTCAAAACAACACGAAAGCCGGCGGGAGGTGTCAGTGGTTTCCAATGCCTCACGAAGTGAGTCTTGGGGATGAGGGCTCCCGCCCCTGTCCAGGGCCGCGGGCTTGATATGGACATTTCCGGAAGGCTTTTCGTGCTCCTACCGCGTATTCGTATCTAGGCCAACCCACTGGGTCCGTGACATCTTGCATTTGGACAAGTTCTCGAGGAAGTAAGTTGTGTCCTACTACCCTGGGGATCCAGTTCCTCTTAAAGGCATCCCCCGTCATACCCCTTAAGCTTTCAGACGTTTAGAGTTTAAAGGGGTTTGTGACATATCCCACCAAAAACTTTTTTCACGGGCTCAACGAACCTTTAAGTCAAGGCCTACAAGGCTGGCCCTAAATCTGCTCAGAATCTTGGCCTTCCAGCCCTTATCATCACCTGGGTTGTTTGCCTCCCTTCAAGGGGCTCACAAGTGTACCCGGAGTCTCCTTCTGACCCTTTAAAGAAGGGTCAATGACCTACCCAAGAGGACCCCCCAGTTGGATAAAATCCCCTCAACCGACCAATTCACATAATATTTTTTCATCAATTCATAACAGAACCTCAACTCAAGATTTGATACATAAATTTTGTAAATATTTTTCTATATTCCCAAAATATATTTTTCCAAAATCCCAAATTCCCAAAATATATTTTTCCAAAATCCCAAATCCCAAAATCCCCATAAATCCAAATCATAAATCTTACAATGTTTTTTTTATTGTAAGGTTTATGGGTTAAATAAATATCAACTTGTCATTTTTCATCCATCCCAGCTTTTGGGGATGCCCCATCCCAAAATTTCATTGTTTGGGGATGCCCATCCCAAAATTTCATTGTTTGGGGATGCCCCATCCCAAAATTTCATTGTTTGGGGATGCCCCATCCCAGCTTTTGGGGATGCCCCATCCCACCCCCAAACTCGTTTCCTTAGTCCGTCAAACTCGTCAAAATCTCACAAATCAATTCAGCAGGTATTTTGTATAAATCTTCCTGCTTATGTATTACATAATTATCTCCCCATTCTGCTTTAGTTTTTGATGGCAGTCGTTGCGCAGTTTCAATATGTTTATTATTCCTTATTTTTCCACAATCTCTATTACATAAATCTCTAGGTGTCCAATTCGTAATGTTATTCCAAAGTCTAGTGCGTTTTCTGTAATTAAATCCATATTTGCAATAATCAACATCTTTAAAATCAAACTCATTCATAAACTCCTGATTTTTTAATAATCCAGTTTGAGGATTTTCGATTACAAAATATTTAGGATTAAAATATTTGAGAATCTCAATAGTTTTTAAAACTATACTATTATCCCATTCCAAAATATCACAATTAATATCAGCATTTGTCAAGTCTAATGAGATGACATTATAACCGAGTGACTTTGCTATGGTTCCTACACTTCCAGTTCCACTAAATAATTCTAATAAATTCATATTGTTTATTAGAATGATTTAGAAAATGTTTTAGACATATACATATTTATCATCTTCCTTAATAATCTTATAGTATTCTAATGTTTGTTCTTTTGGACTTTTGATTTTTCCCTTATTTAACATATCACAATATTTTTTACGCTTCGTGTCATAATCACCGCTGGGTCTGCCTATCCCTTTCTTTTCAAAGATCTTATCAATCTTTTCCTTCTCTTCATTGTTATTTGTTGGTTCGTTTGCCTTTGCATCAAGTTTCTGGTCAATAGTTTTTATCATCTCGTACAACAGTTTAACATTTTTACTAACTGTCATTATTTTCTTTGATAGTTCAGAAATATAATCATTCTCAACTTCAGACATTTCTATATATATTTATTTATATAATTATTTATTTAAATATTTAATTATACGTTTTATTATATAATTTACCCGAATAATATAATTTTACATATGTAAATAAATTATATTCTAACAGTCTTTCACCAATTTTATTGTTCATTTTTATTAAACCTTCCTCGTCATTTGTGAGTTCATAAAATTTCAATATTTTATCAAATTTATCTGGTTTGGTTATACCTTTCATAAAATATTTATCCTTGAATTTAGCATCAAACCAATAAAAATATTCTTCGCTCAATTGTTTAGCAAAGTTTTTATCACCATTAAATAGGTCTTTAATTTCTTCATCGTCAAAAGTTATAACTCTATGGTCTTCTCTATTCATAGTTGGCATTATGATTATACAAATAATTAGATATTTATTTATTTGTTTATAAAATTGATTTAATGTAAAATCTACTCTTTAAATACTAACTTATGTCCCTGTTGAAACTACCATTAATCAAATGTTCGTTAGTTTCAATAACCATATCGCCTCCTGATCTTTTCTGAATATTAAAATCTTTGTCTGTTTTTTTAAAAGAAAACATACATGGGACACAACTAACCTTAACACCATCTTTTTTATCTACCGTCAATTCATTCTTAAAATTCATAACATGATTACATTTATCGCATTTTACAGCTTTACTTTCACCCTTTGATTTAACACTTTCCGTTGTTTTTTTCCGAGCTTCAATATCTGGCATTGGTCTTTCTTTGCTTTTACTCTTTTTCTTTCTTGGCATTTATATTAATATTTACATTTTTATTTTTGGTATATTGTATTCCTAATTTTATTAAATCTAATGTATAAAAGCATACTTTCTTACATCTGTTGTCAGTTATTATTACTTGTTCTATATTCTCTACTTCATCTATTATATCAATATAATCTGAATAACTTCTATCCATATAAATAATAAGATGAAATAATTATTAAAAATAATTATTTGATCTTATTATTTTCATGCATAATAGAATATTGGTGGGGCACAGCACTTGGGTTTTCATTGCACACGCGAGCAAGACACAAAACTAATTATCTTCAATGCTTATTGATTGAAGCAATGGAAAACCTGTTCCATTATGTTATTTACCGCCACTCATAACATAACGATGTTCCATTTAATATTAATTATAAATAATTTTCTAAATATCTTTAATATTATTTTATTATGCCTGATGTAAAACCAATTGACGAAATCAAATATGACTTTAAGCAAAGCAAGCACGAGGTCGTCCCTAAATTGCCGATGAGAGCTATGATTGTAGGGCCGTCAGGCTCTGGCAAATCGACGCTACTTGTATCAATGATACTTGATATTTATAGAGGAGCATATGAAAGAATTTTTATCTGGTCCCCATCAGTAAATTTGGATAGCATTTGGTTGCCTGTTAAAAAATACATTAAGGAAGGTTTGAAAGTAGATAATGATAAAGAACCGTGTTGGTGGGATGAGTTCAATGTTGAAGATTTAGAAAGAGTTATAGAAACTCAAAATAAAATAATTGAATACCAGAAACAACAAGGAATGAAGAAATTATTTAATATATTGGTAATTTTGGATGATGTATCTGATAATCCAGCAATAACAAGAAATAACAAATTGTTAAATTCTTTATTCTGTAGGGGACGACATAGTGGAATATCAACGCTTGTCAGTCTTCAAAAATCATCAAC